ATAATCATGTTCTCTCGCTGCTTCATCTAATTTGTTTTTAGGTTTTTTATTTTTTTTTAACTTAGTTCCCTATCCTAAATAATTATAACCAGGAAAATGCATTTCAGGTAAATTTGAACAATTCAAAAGAAAATTAACAATTCCTGAACCTGTAATAATTTTCTTTGGTAAACATGAAACATATGATGATAAATAATCTGCACCTTTAATAGGTATATCAATTAATTTTTCCATTTCTCTGATATAAATATTAAGAATATCAAGTTTTTCATCATGGTAAATATTATTTCCTATACTTTCTTCAATTGATATATACTGTATACGTTTAATTATTTTTTTCTTTTGATATTTTCACTTCCTTTGGTAAACAAGTTACATATTTTAGTAAATATTCAATACCTTCAGGAGTATCAATAAGATTTTCCATAATTGATTTAAATAAATGAACAATACCAAGTTTTTCGTTTTTAAAATTATTATTTCCAGCTCTTTCTTCTGAAGAAATAAACTGTAAATTATCTATCACTTGGTTTACATTACTAATATAACGATATTCAATACGATTTTCTGTGTATTTCTTTAAACCCTCCCCTATTTGATTATCTTCAGCTAATATTTCATTATTTTCTTTTTTTTCATTAATTTCATTATCTTCATTATTTTCTTTCTTTTTATTATTTTTTTTCTTATCAGTTGTTTCTGTCATTTCTCTCCAAATATCACTAATCATATCCTTATATTTTTCACCACGACTTGATTTAGCTCTTTTCGTTGAAGGATCATTGTTTTGATATATAATTCTTTTTGAATTTGTTTAATATCCATTAAATTATTTAATTTATTTTTTTCCATTTAATTATACAAAAAATTAAATTAAAACATAATCATTCATCGATATATAAAATCTCATTACCTTTATTGTCATAGATTAATTTTTTTATCAAGTCTATTGTTATGAATCCATATGTTTTTATTTTACTTTTTTTATCATATTTTTTACAATAAGTTCTATTAATTTCTATAAATTTTTCTAAAGCTACATCTCCACTAATCAAATCGGACCATATTTTTTCAATATAATAATTTGATTGATTAAAAACAATTAAAACATTCAAATTATTTCTTTTTGTTTTTATATCTACTGAAGTATTGTTTTGTGTTAAATAAATAACACTAATATTCTTTGATCTTGATCTTATAAAATATTCAATTATCATGTCTTGTTTTTCTTTTAGAAAATCATCAAAAATCACTAAACTATTCGGTTCACAATCATCTACAGATATTATTTCATCATTAGAAAAATGTGTGGTTATAGAAGGTATATCATCAAATATTTTTTTTATTTTTTTATAGACTGGTTGATCAGTATTTTTTGTAAAAATATATAGATTTAAATAAGGAATCCAATAATTTATAATTAGATTATACAACAAGGTTGTTTTACCACAACCAGATGGTCCTATAATTAAAACACGTGAAGGTAATTCAAAAAAAGATTTTTTTTATTTTCATCTTCAATAAAAAATTTTACTTTTACTTTATCCATTTATTAAAAAAAATATATATATTTGGTAATATAAATAAGAAATGGAAAATATTTTAAATAAATATGAATTAATATAATAAATAGTCATTATGAAAGTTATATACCTCAAATTACAACAGAATTGAATAAACCAAACTGAAATACAATAGTTATAGTAGATGGTAAAGATAAATTTCTGAACATTAAAAATTCAAAACTTTATTTATCTTTTGAATATGTACAAGAAGCCAGCTGATATGCTTTGCATCCGGTGATTTGGGTCAACTGGGTTCGAGTCATAGATGACCAGATCGAGGTTTCCTGGTGGTAGACCATCTTCTCCAACAAAGACAACTGCTACCTCGTTCACATGAGCAGCTGGTTGATTGTATCGCCGTGGGTCATTGTTCAGGTCGGTGACGATGTGCATGGTCACCCTTTTCGGTTGCAACATTGGATTGGCCGCAGCAGCGTCTTGTTCCCTTTGCCATACTTGTCGCATGTTTCTGTAAGAAAATAATATTGTGTTATTATTAAAGCCACATGATATATTCACATTTGTGTACAGTAGATGGATAAAGAATAAATGTTATCCATAGGCAAGTGCAACCTGATAAATACATATTACAGCACACAGTATATTTTATGTAATTCGGAAATGTAACATATTACTAAGCACACATACTGGAAACTATGAAATACAATTTTGCATAGAAGTATTAAGTAAAAATGTCGCTTGGGTACAATACACACTGTAATGGAAATGTACACAAAAAAAGTAAAATCAATATATATGTATATTGTTATATACATGTGACATATATATATATATATATACTATATAGTATAGTTAATATGGAATTGTAAGGAGCTGTTGGAGTTTAATTGTATCGTTTAAACCTAAAATAGGGTTTTTAATGAGTAAGTAGTAATTATAATGTAAACTATAATTTTTTAAACAAAAATGTTGCACTACTGTCTACACAAATGTGTATTCAATGCAATGGTAACCAAAGTCATTCGTTGTATCATATAGTAATACGTAAAAGTGCAATATCTATACAAATGTAATGTGTGTTCAACACACTACAACTTGAAGTAATATTTTTATTTGATTATGTATATGTTAATAATTTAAAGTAATATATATTACTCAAAAGCCACCGCAAATAGATTGATTCGCTGTAACAGTCTGTCCAAGTCTGCAAGCAAGTTCTCCAATAGTGGTCGTTCACGTGGCTGTTGTGCCATGCGAATCTGATTTGCTGCCCCGGATTCAATAAAATACAACTCACAATACCTTGGTTGCATTAGTTCATTTCTGACAACATCATTACTAATCCTACGATATATTTGCCCGTGAACGGAGAATAGGTACTCTTGGTCCCTGATCATGCAAACGTCTTGGGATCAGATCAGTGGAGAAAGCCGCAAATGCCAGAGTGTTGTTGTACCTGCGGATTTCTTTTCGAAAGTGTTTTCCTACCTGTGAATCATCAACCAACAAACGAATTAATAACTCTGGCGGTGGACCCAAAACAAGGTCTCCTGTAACAGCCATTTGACCGTTATTGCAACAAGTAGAAAAATGACCCGTTGAAGTACGCTCGCAGGAGAAATGGCGGGCACCACAGTGCCGGCAGACAACATTCAACGGTCCTAGGTCATGCCGATCTGGAAGTTCGTGTTGAATGCCAGCCGGACGGTCTCTGAAGGGCGTACGTGTTCTCGGTACAACAGTAGGAATCGGTATGATCTGCAATTAAAATGCACTGTTATTAAGAATTTAATGTTATAAATGTTTATTTTAATTTTAATAAGATGTATTTACTAACTTCTTCATTGACGTCTGGTAATAAAACGTCAAGTGCGTCCCTGAATTCAAATTCTGCCTCTGCGTCAGCAGGAAGTAAATCTACATACTCAATGTCATCTTGTACCACTTCCTCTCGTAGCATTTCTTCTTCAGCTAGGTCCATCATTACATCTTCCACTTGGACTTCGACAACTTCTATCTCCATCCCCTTGTTACCGGGGATTGCCACTTCCGCTTCCAGTTGTCCACCTGGTGCCGCAATGTCAAGGAGTGGTTGAACTACCTACATTCCCACATAGCATAGATACTTTTATTAAATCATAAATAAATGTTGACATTTTAATGTTCATTGTTTAATAAATGTGAAATTTAGATTGAACCACAATCATTTTAAGATTTATTTGCATAAAAGTCATTTGGACAAAATATTTAGATTTATTAAACCCTTGTTTTACTATGCTTAATAAACATTATTTATATATTTATTATCAACAAATTCAATATTGAAATTAATATTTTTTAAACAGAATCTCACATTTGTTAAACATTAATACTACCAAATTTAAATATTTATTGGATGCTGGCATGCTGCTGTATTTAATGGGGTATTTAATTAAGGGCTTGTATATTAATGATGTCTAGATATATAATTTACAGTATTTGGATTATAGGTACAGATAATATATTGTTGAAGACCAAACACATTTGTAATATATACTATTACATACTATACTTATAAAGTACACTAAAATATAAAATTAAAAAAAGCTACAACAGCTATAGTATATTTAGATAAATGTATAATAATATAAATGTTACAATTGAAAGTCAATTTTATAATAACTAATATGAATGATAATCATATAATATACAGTTAACAAAGATAATAATTAATATTAATAATATTAGAGGACGTTGTACCTGTATGTGTTGTCTCCATAGTCTTACACGCGTATACGACATGGCAAATTTTCATTCTTTAGTTTCAATAGTGTGTTGTCAGTTTTGATAATAGGTCAAATCATTATTATCAAAACTGACAAAATACTATTGAAACCTTAGATCATAATACAATTATATATGATCTAAGTTTGAAACTGGCTAATGAATATTTACTATGTCATACTACGTGTATAAGATGGAGACAATAAACATGCGAGTACAACGTCCTCTTAATAAAATATTAATTTCTACATAATATGTAATATGTAATTAAATAAAAAAATATGAGTTGTATACATAGGTAATTATAGTTATCCATTAAAAATGAAAAATACAATTTTTGACCCAAAAAATAATTCTTATCACTATTGTACTACTAATTATTATTAAACCTTGAAAATGAAACAAACATAATAAAATTTTTCAAAACATCCCAAGATATTGAAATTATGAAATAAGAAAACACTAAAAAACTTTATAAGATACAAATAGTTTAAAAAACCATGTATTTATATATTGTAAAAAATCAATTAATTATCTTTTGTAAATGTAAACTAAAATACTAATGGCCCCAGTAGTCGAAGTGGAAATTTCTTTTTGTTAAATTTCAAGTTCAATAAAAAATAAAATAATATAATAATTACTATTAATACATTATAAGAATAGCGAAATTTTGTTTTTAGATTACAAATATAGAGATTAAAAGAAATTATATTAGGATTGTTCCATAACTGTCGTGGTATGAATAGTAGATTCTTTTTGCCTTTTTAATTTAAATGGTGTTTGAATTAAAACATATTTGATGACTTGCTCTATTTGATTCGTTGAGTTATCTGAAGCAGCAAACTTTTTTATTTTGAATACAGACTCTGAAAAATTAAAATTACATATTTAATTAATTCACATAGCAATTTAAGACTTTATATAGCAGGGATGGCAAATCCATGGCGGCACTCAAAAAGATTTTGAGGGCACGCCAAGAGTTTTAGTCTAATATATTATATAATATTATAGGTAAAATAGGTAAACATATTAAAAAATAAATTTTTTTTACGATATTGAATATAACATTCAATATTATAACAATATAATATTTTCATGACACGCTCTAAAAAAAAAAAAAAAATGGTAATTTTTGGCACATAGTATTCAAAAGGTTTGCCTTCCCTGTTATATATAGTAACAATGTCAAAGGTAATGAGCCCATCCTAAAATGCTCTGATCCTTAGCTAGGTCCACCCGAGCTGCTGTCACCAAGAGTAAAATATGTTATCTTATGAATTATTTTTTGTTGTTTATACTCAATATCAATAATATTCACCAATAAAATTACATAATACCATAGTTAACTTTTGCCCAATTTAATCTGCAGCTGAACACTGTAGTATAGTATAAGTATGTATAGTATAAGTGTAATGTATAAGTATGAAAACATTTTAAACATTTGAGTCAAATGTATGATTTTATTGTAATACAAATTTTATTTTGAAATAAAGTTCAATATTATCATAATAATAATATGCATATTCCAAATGTTTTAAAAAAAACTTTTTTTGAAGGTTAATGAGAATTTTCTCTAGACAATAATAGATCATTGTTGAAAATAAATTATATTATTATCATCATGTACACCAAATATAAAAATCTGGGTTATATACTTATATTATAACTATTTATGAAATTATTTATTATCCAATAATATTTAATTTAGAAAAGATTCTAAACATATACTTAATTAATTATAGTAAATATAATATAACTTATTATTTGATTATTTTCTTGGTAGACTTAAGAGTTTAAAGAAATTCAGATACTTTTATTAAGACTATCGACATTTTTATTATTCTTAATGATTCCCAAATTAAATTAAATTTAAATGCAAATTATTACCAATTGATATTTAATACATTTTGTATATTCTTACCAAAAATTATTTTGTTTATTAATAAGCCAGCAAAATTTCGCTTTTTGTTACAACGGCCAGTAATGTGTTCCTGTTGTAGGAAAATGTTATTAATAGTTCTGGGTTGAATACCATAGTCATTATCCGTTTAACCATAGCTGCAATAGATTTTCCTCCAACAGAGGAAAATCGTTGTACCTATTAAATTATCAATTTATTAATTACCTGTCTTTATAAATAAAATGTTTGAATTTTTAAACTTAAAGATCATAAATACTTACAAAATATGAACGATAAGTCTTGTCTCTAGCTATTTTACTTTCTATTTCAATTAATTCATCATATGTTTTGATAGGTAATTCATTATCAAATTGTGAAAATTGAGAAAATGTTGCAGTTTCTTGTGATATTGATGATATTTTTTCATCTTCTGCTAATTTGAGTATTAGGTATGTTTATTTTTTCATCCATTGAGCGCATTTCATATTTTAGAGTAAGAAGTTGATGAATAACTGACTTTTTAAAAGTATTATCTGTTAACAAAAAAATTAATTTAAATTAGAATTAACTTTACAAGATAATTTAATTTAGCAAACAAAAGAACTAGAAGAATTAAAATTATAATTACCATCTCCAATATTTTTTTTATTATTTGATGTTTGATTTCTAGATGCTGATTTATTTGCTGTAGACAATAGTAAAATATAAAATATAAAATAAAAAAACGATACTAAACAAAAGTTAAAAATTATTTAGATACCAACCAGATAATAGATGTTTTGGACTATCCTGGATACCAATATCTGCTGGAAATAAGCTTCGTTTTACTCCTTTAAAATAAGCAGTAGTAAGAAATAATTTTAAAAAAACCAACAAATTTAAATGTTCATACCATAAGACTGAGATGAATTCATTGTTGGTGACACACTGGTATTGCCATAAGAGTTTTTTTCTAAAAAAATATAGTAAGTACATGAAATTATATAAAAAAAAAAAAATCAAAATTATAGTATGTATAGTTGTTAATAAATTGAATAAAAATAAAAAATATTGGAGATTTTGTTGTCTCAATTAGTATTTTTGATGCTGTGATATTATTTGTAGAAGTATGAGGTATTTTTTCTGGGTTATCCAATACCATTATAGGACTCATAATTTTGTCTATAAAAATATAGATAGTTTTAATTTTTAAATATGGCCATTATCAGATATATTCATAATTAGGGCTCGGACCTATTAATGCACTTAAAACTATTAATCACCGAATATGCAAAAATATGCACTATAAATTTCTAATATTTTTTTCTTAGTGTCGTCAAGCTTACTTATTAACAATAAATCTAATAACCCAAAAAACATGCAAATGCAACAACTTCCGAACCCTAGTTATAATTTAATATAATATATATATAGTTATAAACCTAGTACCTATTTCACCTCTGTTTAAAGAAGTTTTTAATGGAAACCATCCAGCTAACTTTTTATTACTAGAGTCTGGATCTAATACAACATAAATATATAAATGTTAGGTATGTTATTGTAAGAGTTTAAGACTGATTTATAAACTAGTAAAAAATATTATATGAAGATTAAAATTAAAAAATGTACCTAGGTACTCAATTGTTTTAAATGATCATTTATCGTAGAAAAACAGTATAAAATTAAGGAAAAGATTAATTACCTGAATGATAACGTGGAATTGAATTACTGTTGTCATCAGATTGTTCATAGTCTAAAAAAAAAACTTACATATTATAGTAAAACAATTTAAATAAAATATATTTTAATAATTTTATTAGAGTAGGTAACATCAAGTTAATTGTAACTATATTAAAGTACACTAAGCCAAAATATTAAATTGATAAAAACAAACCAGATTCTGAACTTGGAGTCTTTTGTTTTTTTAATATCTTATAACTCTTTCGTTTAAAATTATCTTCTGCAGAGGAAAGATCAGATTGGATCCTTGCCTTTTCACATTTTTTTTGAGCATTTGAAAAGTTATCTTAAATAAAAAAAAAATATTGTATGCGTTTTAGCTGTATCTACTTTGTAGTACCATATTTAATTTAACAATAATGTATGGGTTAATATTTCTTTATTAATTATTACTTATTAGTAGTACATTTACCCAGTGCTCGTCTTGAGGGGGGACCAACTAATTTTTCAGAAATTCTAGCGTACCCCTACTTTTATTAAAAGGGGAACGCACGAGACGCTGCATTATTCTGCATTTTTATCAAAATGCACACGATAACATTATAATTTTTCTTACCCTGGATTTAATAATATAATATAATTTATTATTATTTAATTAATTATCTTTGATCATATGATCCACATATAAAATTGGAAGATAAGAAAAAACATATCTATGATAAATTATGGAACTATTTAAATAAATAGTTAAAATGAATTGTTTTTTAAACACGTGATGGGGACCATGACAAAATAGATAGGTATGTCAGCAACGATACGAGTTTTGGTCTTGTTAGCGCATCACACCCTTCCCAGCCATAGTCGTGGTTCGCCTCATTTCATTGGCCGTTAAATTACCCGCCAAAAATACAATTTTGTAATATTATAATCAAGACGAGATTAAAAATTAATAATTATGATTTATGAATAATAGATTAATACGAGCTTTTTACTATGAAAAATTACATTTTATCATTTTCTTGTATGATATATGTAATTTGTTTTTATGTTATTCATCGATATCAATGTATTATGATATTTTAATATAAACAAATACAATCAATTTACGAATTATTTGTTGTTAATTGTTTATACTAGATTTATATGTTGATTGTGTTTATTTAAGTAAAATACTCCTATATATTTACATATAATATTTAAGTAAAATACTCCTATATATTTACATTTTCACACAAAAAATGCCAGTTTGTGAGTTTTTTGGATGTGATAATGGTAGCAAAAGGAAAAGTTTGGTGAAAAATCCTAAAATTATGCTACATCGATTCCCAAAAGACCCAATTTTAAGGGATTGCTGGGTAAAACAAATACACCAATATGGCCAAACAGATGAAGATAGGAAATCCATAAATTTTAATTCTGGTAAAACCAAATAATTTTTAGTAATATTATTTACTTTAGTATCTTACTTGACTTCCATATTTATTCAAACATTAAATAATTATATTTAGCGGTTGTTTGTTCTTTGCATTTTGCAAATGATAGTTATGTCATATCTTCCGGAATAAAGGGTAGAAAAATATTAAAACCAAATGCTATTCCTTTGAAGTAAGTTTTTTAAAATTATGATTTCTTAATTACATAAATACATAATTTATTTTATAAATTGAAATATATAATTTGTATTTATTTAAGTATACATAGCATGATTGATGGTATTGTGTGTCTTGAAGAGTTTATTACTCCTCAAAAAAATAGATCAAGTTTTAATGAGCCAGTAATAATCACCTCAGCTGGAAAATTCTCTGTGTACGAATAAATTTAAATACAATCTATTACCAAATTACTCAACTAAACAGTATAATTTATGATATAAATATTATGTATTTTTACTTTTTAGAGAAAAATTGTGTGAATCTGTTGTTGCTTCTGCAGACCATAAGTAACTATACACAATACAAACATGAGTACCTAATAATAATACAATATTGTTTATTTTTATTTTGTTAGGTCTAAAGAAAAATATAAAATTAACCTTTTTGATGATCTAGAAGTTCAACCACTAGATCAAAGTTTAGAAAATAAAATGGAAAATAGTTCATCATATCAAAAGTAATGTACATACTTTTTTTTAAATAATAATTAAGTCTTCCAAAGCCTTTTGTGATAAAGTAAGTTTATTGTTTAATAACTATTAATTACATTTAAATACATACATTGTAAATTATAATTTGAAGATAATTAAAAAATACATATTCATTATTATTTTACAGTTAACAATTTACATAACCACCTAAGAATTACTATTAAAATAAAAACCTAACATTTACAAACTTAAAAGAAAAATAGAAATTAAGGAAATTATTAAGTGCTTTTGGTGTTTGTATGGTGTTAATAGGATATGTAGTTAGATAATTAACAGTATTATGGTATTATAGAATATTAAATAACAATAAGGATTTAGTATTTGGATTAAATTATTGCCATGTATAGGTAGTATATTTTTATTTGTTAATTTATATAAAATAAAAAATGTCTTACATGTATGCATGCTATTTAGCTTACCATATTTTTCTAATGTTTGTGTTAATAAAATTCATGTTTTCTAATTGTCTATTATATGTTTGTTTTATATGTAATGTTTTAATTATTAAAAAAAATATCTCATTAATATGTAGTGTTTTAATTATTTATTTAAGTATTTTATTACTTTTTATTATTAATTTATGCTCTAATCCGTAAATAGTAATACTATAATGTAAACTATAAAAATGTATTCCTAAAATGATTAGACTAAAAGAAGAATGTGACAAATATAAAGAAAAAAATATGAAACTTGAGGAAGAAAATAATGTTTTAAAAAAAAATATTACTTTTGAAATGGACAAGGTAAAATATTATACAGATCTTATTAATTTGGAAGATGTTCGTTTTGAAAGTCGCTTTGGTAATATTTTATCACAACTCTTTACACCAACTCAAATTCAGCTTCTTCTTCATCCAAAAAAAAAAGTATATCAGTGGACCCCAGAAGATATTTCTTCGGCGATTACTTTAAGGAGTATATCGCCAAAATGTTATCGTTACTTAAGAGAAAAAAAAAATTTTCCACTGCCAGGTAATTAATATATTAATATATAAATTTATTACCTAATAAATTCAATTATATGAACTAAATATATTTTGAGGTCTATCTACTTTACGAACTTGGGCAGCAAAATTTCCAATTGATGATGGAATATTGACTAGTGTTTTATCTTTGATGAAATCTAAAGGTATTTTAAATTAAAATAATATTATGTAAAATTTGTTCCATGTATTTTAAGTATTGAAATATATTTATATATAAAACAAAATATTTTTAATGAAAGGAGATCTTATGAGCACAGCTGACAAATTAACTGTAATTTGTTTTGATGAAACCTATATTTCAAGTAGAATTTGTTTGGACAAAAAAAATGAACGAGTAATAGGACCACATAAATGTGTACAAACAGTTATAGCTCGAGGTACATACAGTAACATTACTATCAACGTTATTATGACTAGATATGTATTAAGTAGATAAATGTAAGACTAATTCATTTACAGGGTTGGTAAGTAATTGGAAACAGCCGATTATGTATGGATATGATACCCCAATGACACAAGAATTATTACATCAAATTATTGAGCAGCTGCATAATGTTGGGTTTAATGTCATTGCAATGGTTAGTGATATGGGTTCATCAAACATTGGATTATGGAAAGCTTTAAACATAACTATAGAAAATACGTCCTTTAAGCATAAAATAACAAACCAAAACATCTATGTTTTTGCTGATGTCCCACATCTTTTGAAGCTAGCAAGAAATCATTTAATTGACAAGTATAAAACTAATTTTTAAATTAATATCTATTAAATATCAATATTTTATAACAAATATAATTATTTCAGAGGTTTTGTACTTTCCAATGGAAAATATATTGGAAAAGGTGTTTTTGAAGAGTTGTTAAATTTAAACTCTGGCCAAGATTTTAAATTGGCTCATAAATTCACGAACAAACACCTATTAGTTGAAGGGACTGGTCGTATGAAAGTAAAATTAGCTGCACAGTTATTTTCATATACAGTTTCCAAAGCAATTGAATATGGCGGAGAAAAAAGTTATTAGAGGATTATAACTGGAAAGAAGTAAATACTTATTTTATAAATGTATAATTAAGTAGTATAAAAAGGTTTAATTGTTTTTTTTTATTCTCTTGGAATTACATTTAA